TTGCCGACCCCTGCTTTAGATGAAAATAAGGAGCCACTCCCCACGCCCCTCTGTGAGATATTTGGTTAAAAAGAACAGAATTGTGCTCTAGGAGGAGATTCAGGTGATAAGGTGGGGGGGTTACCTTGGTTGGTGATTGGCTACTGGTTACACAAGCCAAAACATCGTTATGACATCATAAAGTGGCCAAAATCTGATCAGCTCATTTTCAGACAGCTTTTTATATAAATGGATCAGGATAAAAAGAGAGATAACGATTTTTTCCTGAAACTTTCAGTCTCTTTACACAGAGGGGACACATGTTTATGTATGAAAGACATGAAAAAGTGGATTTTGCATAATAGGTCCCCTTTAAAAAAAAAAAAATGTTCCTTTCATGTAGACTGCACATATCCTACTGTGGCTTCGAGGATGCACACACTAAACTGCAGCCTGTTGTCAGAGGTGGTAGTTACTCAGATATTGTACTTCAGCAAAATGTACCAGAGTGTAGGAAAACTCTGTTACAAGTCGTGGGTTCAAGAAGTTACTCAAGTTAAAGTACATAGATATTAGCATCTACATATACTTAAAGTACCAAAATAAAAAGTACTCATTATGCAAATTCACAGGATAATATATAATATAGCCTATTTTGATTATAATTATTGATGCATTATTATGTAATTAAATCTAGCTGCACCTTTCCAACGTTGATACGTTGTATGCTGCAGGATAACTTGTGAAGTGTACTCCAGGTTTAACTGAAGTCTTAGTACCAGTCTCTCAAAAACCATTCTTACAGTAAGTACGGAACTTGACTAAATGTACTTAGTTACTTTACACCACTGCCTATTGTGCATCTTGCACTTTCATAATCCTTATTAATGTATACATACATTTTGGTGACATCTCATGTATATGTGCTAAGCTTCTCCCAAACTCCACCTGAGCAGAGGTCTAGCTGTGAGGTAAAACACCTGTAAGCATGCTGGGCCTTTCAATCCAAAATCATTCCTGTTGCGGCCACTGGGGCTCATGTTGCATTCAAACAAGTTAGCATGTCAACAGTCCTGTTGTGTTAATGGAGGTTCATTTCGAAGTTGGTCGCACCTCTAAATGTTTAAAATCTTTCTACGCAAGGGAGAGATTTGCGTTCATCCCGAAGCTAGACCAGGGCTATTCAATTAGTTTGGAATGGTGGCCGGTTGATGGAAATGATCCATAGCAAGGGGCCGGGAAAAAGATGGCTTGAAATATGAGCAATCATATTAAGAGCTTTGGATACAGTAAATACTACAACAGCTAGTGGAGTGCATATATTGTGTTTAATTAAATCAAACAACACAGCCCCAAGGCCTTTATAGATCTAAATGGCAAGTTCAGAACTCAGTAGGCCTACATGTGAAGCTAATTTAACCATCAACATCATTTAATTTAGGTGAAATGATCTAATCATTCACGCAGAGATGGGGTGTTGTCCGACTGGCCCACTTCGGTACCGGAAAACTCCCTGTATTCCCGATGGCCAGTCCGCCCCTGGTGGGTTCGAAACCCGAGCATGCCGAAGTTTTCAGGCAATGTCTTCCCCTCTGTCTCTCAATTTAAAACCTTCTCTGGAATAAAGGCACACTGGCCCAAAAAAAAAAAAAACATCTTTTGATTTGATTACTTTTTAACATTATACTCAAAGGGCCAGTAAATATCACCCCGTGGCCGAATTTGGCCCGCGGGCCGCCAATTGCACAGCCCTGCTGTAGACTATGAAGAACAGAAAGAAGAGGAGTAACTGAAGGAAACAATGTTATACAGAGTTTGAGTTTTAAAGTGTAATGTGACGCTAAACTGCATATATATTTTGTATTATGTATATGATATTTAATACAGTTTATGGATCAGTGCATAACACAAATGCTAGTGAATTGTCCGACCGGCCCACTTCAGTACCGGCCCACCGGGAAAACTCCCGGTATTCCCAATGGTCAGTCCGCCCCTGCCAGAGGTCATTGCTTCACTTCAACAAGGTAAGAAGTTGAAGTTTGCATGCATATTGTGAAGTGATTTCCTGCTCTGTTGAGTATTTGTGTGATTAATGCTATTGGCTTCATGGCTGCAGTGTGCTGGCTGTTTATTATGCTGTTCTGAGGATCTGCTTGAAGGCTTGTCTTTGAAATAGCTGGCTGCTTATTTCTGCAAAGTAGCTATAAAGCATCTTTATTGGTGTTAACTGGAAGTAGCTGCAGTTATTTTTGGTCTTATAACAAAATGTGTTGTATTGGCTTTTAAGATGTTAATATGACTTTCAACTTGCGTACACTGAGAGTAGGCTACTGTTTGACTAAGCTATCTGGGTTACTGCTTTTTGCCATAAAGGCAACTTAACTCTATTTGGATATAGAGATAAACAGCATATGGAAATATAAAAAGGGCAAGCATACACATTGTGCTAACAAGCATTCACATTGTGCTAACAAGCATTACACTCAAGAGGTTGAGACAAACCTTTAGACAAACCTCTTAAATTAACTTTTAGTCATGAGATCAGATTTTTTTCGCTACTTTTTAACTACTCTGATTTACTGAAATTATCATTTAAATTAGAATCTCTCAATCCTTAAAACTAAATCTTGCTGGTGGTCTGCTTTTGTTATTGCTCTGTTTATGTTTGTCTGGCAAAGACCCTTGAGGCAATAATAAAGCCTAGCGGATAAGGTCGTAAACCCACACGTATGTGGTGTGAAACACCTATACATCATATTTCAAAATCACAACGCTGAGTCAGACTCATTTTTATTCCCTCTGACACTCTGAAAACAAAATGGATCCACCAAAATTAACCTCTGCGGACCTTTTCATCAGCCTTATAAGAACCAACAAAGTGAAACAAACGGTCACAGTTTCAGGTGTATAAGATCGGTGAGCCGTTTGAAGAAGCTTCCCGCTGCGTCGGAGCTCTCTGTCAGGTCTAAAGCAGGTTTAATAAACTGCACCACTGAGCATGACCATCCCTTGAGCCTAGGATATAGTTTATCTACATGCACCAACATGCTGCACTCTGCTACGTTATGAGATCCGGAAGGCTTTTGCACACTGGAGCTGCTTCCAAGACGTTACCATGGTGACAGAGGATCCTGATGATCAGAGATAAACTAGGTCTCTAATACCATAGGACACTCAGGAAGATGAAAACAAATTAGCACGGAGAAATATTCTAAACTATGGGTACACAAAGATTTGTATGTGTGACAAGAAGTATTAAATGTATATTTCACTGTTCTGAAAATAATATGAATTTATAACCCCATGTATATTCATAATTTATATTAAATTATTTTTTAACACACTGTAGCAAATGATGTTTCAATTACTATAAAAGGACTAAGACAACACTAACTGTCTCCCAATTTATCACCCATGAAAGTGATCTTTTCCAAAACCCAACTAAATGGTTAAAGTTAGCTAAAAATACCGTTGCACTAAGTTTGGACTGTTTTATACAATCTGTCTAATGATAAACTGTAACCGTAGAATAATTATTGTTACTTGTAATCTTTAGCCATTGGAGCCACTCGTCTAATGGAGACAGAGTAGCACAGCAAGTTTGCAAGTTTATTATATGTACAAAAGTTCAGGAAAGTACTTTCTTTGCCAAAATAAAAGGACTTTTGTTGTTAAATATAGGTATTACACGTAATAAAAAATATCCAGCAGTGATCACTTTCACAAATCTACACATAGAACAACTCTCCTGCTGTTTAAAAAAAATAGAAGTGGCAGTACTGGCAATGGCTAGCCATTATTTACTGTGAGTGATATCCCTCTGTGCCCCAGCCCTGCAGAAAATCTCCACCATTAGTAACTTTTTACAGCGTTCTGCCGCTTATCACCTCCTGGGTAGACACAACTGAATTATTCAGAGGCTGAATAATGGATTGCGCTGAACATCAGGGGACACAGATGTTAAGAGAGAGGTGAGGCATGACAAAAAGACAACATTCATTAAAAATCCAAACAGAGCCGTGCTGATTGGCTGAACGCCCAGTAGAACGTGCCAGTCCATAAATACTCTTGCATTACATCGCCAAAGCCATACTGCGATAGAAATACAACACATTCGGTGAGTATAATCATACCAGAATTAGAATAACAAAGAGAAAAAGCCAGTACGAAGAAATCAGGTCCAAGGTCTGTGGTTGCAAATGTAAATCATACAGTAAGTGGGGGAAATATCAAAGTAGGTTGTTATTTACAAACAATGTACAAAGACATTAGATTTGGCCTTGGCCTTGGCCTAAGTCTTCAGGGATCACATTCTGTCCCAACACATGAATAATATAACACCACTGGTTTGAAATGTCCAATGATTTATGATTCGGCTATATACGTTTGCAAATCCACTATCGTATCAATTGCCTTTTAGAGGGAGTCCAATGTATAAAACGCACACAACATTTAAATGTGTTGGTTTATGGATGGACACACTGTAACAGTTTACACAACTTGAGTATTTAGGGATTAATACTTGAAATGTTACGCTAATATGTTAACATTTCATTTCACAACAAACCAGAAATCCGGCCCTCAAACCCATAATTAAGATTAGGATAGGGAATTACCTACCCTTTCGATTAATTATTAAAACCTTAGATGAACATTTGAAGGGATTATGAATTCATATTAGCAGAGGGATTGCTCATCTGCTTCTAGACTATTGCCTGACTTGTTTATTTTCAGGGGGAAATCATGCAAAATGGATGACTTGGGTAAATCGAAATGTATTGACAAGGAAGACAAATTGTGCACATTGTATTTGTGTGTGTGTGTGTGTGTGTGTGTGTGTGTGTGTGTGTGTGTGTGTGTGTGTGTGTGTGTGTGTGTGTGTGTGTGTGTGTGTGTGTGTGTGTGTGTGTGTGTGTGTGTGTGTGTGTGTGTGTGTGTGTGTGTGTGTGCGTGCGTGCGTGTGCGTGCGCGTGCGCGTGCGTGTGTGTGTGTGTGTTCTGAAAGCAATTTAGGTGTCTTACCTCATATTGGTAGATGAAGAAAAGCATGATGGACAGAATCTCCAGGAAGAAGATGAGCAGGAGGAGGATGAAGAACTGGGGAGACAAAGAGGGAAGAGAAAGCAGTTATTTAACATACAATTTATCAGTGAAGAGTACGCGACAACAAGGGAGATAATGAGCATCTGTCTGTGAAAAAAGAATGAAGTATAAATTGAAAAGAAAGGAAAAAGCAGCAGATTGAAGAGTGTAAGGGGAAGGAAAGAAAAAAATTATTAAAAGCAGGAACAACATGGGCCTAGCCCTAGAGTGTCAAGGAGAAGGAAAGGAGAAGTAAGGACGATCAAATAGCTATATATCATTCAGCCTCAATATTTCTAAGTGACAGGTCAAGAGAGCAGAGAGAGGAGGTGGTGGGGTAATCATAGCAAGTAGGACACACTGGGAGAGGTGATGTATATTGTTCCTCTGTCAGTGTTGGAATTTGTTAATGGAGCCACATTTTATTCCTTACCACCCAACCCATCCTCTCTGGAATGAGCTGCTTGATAGGTGATACATCTTCTTCTTCCTGTGTGAGTGCTTAAAACAGTTACAAGCTCAATCATCAACCACTCTTGTGAGGGGACATGTGTCTCACACATGACTGTCTGAACCAGGGAGGGGTGAAATTATTTGAGGAGCAATAATATTATGTTGCCCTTAAGAAGGATGTTGATGAGATTGCACTGAAACACGAATGCTGTGCGGCAGCAGCGAAGCCTTGGTATTGTCTATTTATCTATCGGTCCACCACTCAAATATCTCAGGAACTTGGTAATAAATAAGTAACACTTGAATGGGTGTGCATAAGACTGACATTATGCTCACGCATGAACATGTCATTGCAGACCTTATCATCAACTAAGTAGCCGTATGTGTTAACATTGAATGCTAATGTAAGCTATGGTTGGTATGAATCTGGCTGTCATGAGAGCATTATAAATGTGTCATTTATAATTTCTGCAATCTCAACTACAGTGACACCATTCAAGCCTTTAATTAAAATGTCATTAAATGTTATATGTCCACTTTGAACACAGGATATACCATCAAGTAACTAATGGAGTGGTAGAAAAAAAGCAACTTAAAATGCTCAACAAACTGCTAACTACAGCAACCGTTAGCTAGTTAGCCGATTTAACTATCCAGCTTGCGGTCCCACCTGCTAACTCAGACCCAGGTTGCCAAAAGACAAATTCATAAAATAGAACCACTTCTGTACTGCATTTCCTGTCGTCAAACTGACCTGTCCATTTCTGACGCTGTTTTTGGTTCTGCTTTGTAAACTTGGTGCTTCACTGAAAGAGCCGCTAATTGCATGCCAGGGGACAACACACATTATGCACAGTTTGCTATGGTAAACACATATCAATATCTCCCTAGTAGTTTCATAAAAAAACAAAACTTTTAATAGGCGTAGTTAAACATTTGGGTTCAAAAGCACTCTGTAAGCCGTTTATTGGGGAAGTGAGCAGTCAGTGAAGACGGCTGGACACATCTTAGACAGAGTCAATTTCTAGCTAACTGTACTGAACTGTACGGCTAACTGAGATAATGGCAGCATTTATTTCACCTTCAAGTAAATCGGTCCCCCATTTCATAAAAACTACCTTGGCACTGTATTCCCTGGGGTCAATCTGCCCTTATAACATGTAATGACCTCTTAATGAAAAGTACAAATGCTTTCACCATAGCTGAGGAAATAGCACAGAAATTAATCATGACACAATTATTTCACAATTTTATAACACATAACATATTATGACTCGTCTATTCTCTATTGTGTACTGTACATTTACATAGAAAGTTCAAATGTTACATTTTTTACAAGGCCTACTATGACATCTTGATTTTCTTTAGTATTTATTTGTTTCAATTTTGACACATTTAAAATATATCAACTTCATATTAGCAGTGCAAGTAAGTATGCATGTATTTATTTCACTGGATTACTGAAGAAAACTTGAAGATTCTCAGGCGCTTTACAGAGAGTGTTTCTTTTTAACAATTTCTAAGCGGATTAATGGGCGGACGATTGGAGATAATAATATCCTCAGAAAGCTTGTTAGTGTGATGCGAAGTGGTGGGGGTAAATTACATTGAATTTGAAAATCTATGTATAATTCATGGAATTCATGGTTGAAGACTCTTATTCTTTTGTTAGGTTGAGGCATATAAAGCATGAGCCCTTCTCAGAGGGCTCAAAACCGATTTTAAAGTAGAAATGTTGTTATTTTGAAAACATCATGGCTACTTGTCCTCTGAGTATTTCAGCTTGACAGGATGTGAGTGTTGCTAGTTCACAAGACGGGCATCGAGCAGGCTGTCAGTTGCCCCACAAGGTCTCTTTTGGCAGAACCTGCATGACTGAATCACTAAATGTGGCAGCACTGGAAGGTGTGAGACGTATACATGTAAGTAACAGAATATAGCCCACAGTGTGTTTGACTCACTCGCACTCTTTTCAAGAGGTGCTCCCAAATCAACGTCTGAAATCAATTCATATTGTTCTGTCATCCTTTCTTGTCTAAATGTTAGGCTTGTTGTCGTGTGTAATTTCTGGTACTTTTGTGTGTCTTTTTTCAACTAAAGAAATATGCTTCAGTGTGGACTTGCAACAAATTCAACCTGGCTGATGAAATCATTCAACAAGCCATTGCAGAATACCAAAATACTATTCAGTCAAGTAAGGAAGTCTTACAGTCTTTCCTAACTTTTGAATATTTGACATTTATGACATTTACAACTTTCTGCAACCCAAAGGGAAAGACCAACAGAGATACAGAGGCAGATCTACACAAAACGGCAACGTTTGAGTCAGGGTCTTTTTGGCGTTTTGTGTTATTTCTTGACCTGCTATCGATCCTTGAAGGAAAATATGCTATTCAGTTTTAAGAAAGTGAAGGGTCATGGTAAGAAATGTCGATCTGGTCAGTATTCTGGTCATGAATTCTGAATCTGATTATTATTTTCGATCCAAAACAATCACCAATTGCAAACAAATGCTAATAATTTAACAATCAAACTCAGTAGCCTGATAATCAAACTGTGATTTCATTTTCAGCTCATCTTTCAATCTGACACATATTGATGATTGCTGCCTAATGTAGGGGGGATTATTTTTGGCCATTTCATTTATAAAATAATCAATACCATTCTTTGCTTATTGTTCTCCACATAATCCTCAATATTTCTATATGAGGACATTGTTTGGGAGTTTAAACTTTAATTTTAACAGGCACTTTTTTGACAAAAGAAAAACAATTCAAAAGTGAACATTGATGTTCCAGGAAAGTTTCATATTTTCTTACCATCTCACTCGCTGTGTCTCTAAGGTTGTTTGCTCTATTACACTTCTAGGTGTTCAAGACCATGAAATTACACCACAGAGCAAAGGGACATCGTTAAGAAGGAGAACATTGATGATAACCAGCACTTGGAAAACAAACAGACCCGTCCCCTGTGGCTCTCTGAATATTTCCCCATTAATCTGTTCTTAATAAGAAATGTAACTACCCTTCTTGAGACCACAGGCAATAGGCAGACTCGATGGGATAATTTGATGGCAGAAGATGGCCTTTACGCTTTTATAATATACTCCAAAAAAGCAATTGAATTACGGTGAGGAATTTCAAACTGCTGCATTGAATGGGTTACTATTGTCAAGTGGTTTGCAGAAATTAACTGTACACGATGAAAACCCATTTGTGAACTGTCTGGAAAGGCTGATTAATATAGAAGCACTAATGGTGTGCGAAACGAGTCAAGTGCAGAGGAGTCGTTTGTTCTGATTCATTTAGAAGGATAGATGTAACATTACTTTCATGTAACGATACAAAAATATCTGAACAGCTGGTTAATAAAACAATTATGTTTCTCTGCGTAAAAATAAAGATTTAATTGAGACATAAAATAGAAACAGTATAATTTGTTCTGAATTTCTTCTAAAGGTGGTTGCCAAATCATATTTGAATAACACTGTGTGTTGTGACAGATGCAGCAGGCAATAACATACATCTACATCTGTTTTATTGTGTAAGTTCATTGTAAATTGGGAAGATACAGTAAATCTCAGCTTGACTCTTAAAGAGGTGCATTTGTTTTGAGCTGGTGTTACTGGGATAAATGATTATAAACTAAGACTTGGATCCCATTACGAAATAAACAAAACTGTCTCAATATGTTTTCCTCAATTATTGTCATTCAAACTTAAATATGTTATTATGTTCGCATCAGTGACTTCCAGCAGCATAACTATAGGAAAGATTGATTGGGGAACAGAGTAAAGGGAAACAAAATGGGGTTATATACAGGTTTTTAGTTGAGCTAAAAGCTTTATAGCTTTCTACAGTTGTCAAACGGCACTCTTGGGTTCAGATATTCTTATGTTTTTGTAATGTATTGCTATTAGTGTCAGTGATGGAAAAAGTGCTCGCATCGTTTACTCAATGACTTTAAAGTATCAATAGAGTACTGCAGGAAAGAGTTAAAACAAAAATACAAAATGTCATTAAGATGAACAGTGTGCCTTCTTAAGTTAGTGGTTGTGACCCAAGTTATTAAATCCATACCACAGTATACTAAACTAGCAGTACACATACTATCTGAAACGTGTACCAAGAAGTAAGTACTTGTAGACAAAAAGCAGGTGGAGATAGTTTCTTATATACAGTTTTTTAGTCCAGACCCAACCTAAAGGTCAGGCCCCCTCAAGTTTAACAAGGGCATCTGAAGCTTTATGAAATGTATTAAAGGGAGAACACAACTATAATGCAAACACAACTATAATGCAAACAATTTTTTTTTGAACAATACCCTTTTGGGACTCAAAAGCTTAAATGAATGAAAAAATCTGAAAGACATTGCTTTCATCTAAAATGTCACAAGCTAAAAGTGATAGAAACCACTAGAATCATCTTTAACTGTAAACTGTATTTGATCAATTCAAGCAGTCAAATAAAAAGTGGAGTAAAAATTACAGTATTTCTTTCTGAAATATTCTGATGTAAAAGTGGAAGTATGAAAAGGACCTCCAGAGTTATACTTAAGTACAATACTTGTGTAAATGTGCTTTCCTCCACTGATGCCCACTCTTTATAACCCATCACATAACGCTCTGTATCTTGTAAGAAAGCTGCTTTCATCCCTGAAATCAGTTACAGACGGAGCAAAAGGGAAAAAATATTCATTTTTAGCCTTGAGACCTTTTCTTACTAAACGCCGGATAACACTAAGAATGTGAAACCAGGAAAGCGTTTCTCTTGCTAGAGCTCTCACTGTGCAAGCAAATGTGATGCAAATAGCACTGACACGTGTAATGGTGTATACTATCATGTTGGTCTATCAAAAGCGATAAAACTCACTAAATTGGTCCTATAAGACTTCCAGTTCCTGTTGTGTTGGGCCGGTGTCCTGCAGGTTTCTGTTTCCATTACAGTTTTTGTACTGTGAGAGGTAATGAGCCACAGCTGGTCTGTATCTAACCGACGCCTTGGAAGGAGAAAAAAAACCTGCAGGACACCGACTCACAAGGATCAGAAAAGAGCTCCTCAGGGTTAAGCCTTTTTTGATATATTTCCATGTTTGCAGTTTTATTGCGGTGGGGTCGTTCACAGTGTTGCAATTAGTCACTTGAGTGTTGGGATTTACGCTTTGCCATTTACTTTACATTTAAGTAGACTTTAATGCATCTGAAAAATAGCAGCCGTTACTGGCCACTAGACTAAATGCACATTGCATGCATTATATCACTTCAGACACCCACCTTACATGTAGCTGTTATTTATGTTATGACTTGTTCGGCCAGCAGTGCTGATATCCCTGTTAAGAAGAGATTGATGTCTCGGCTAGGCCCCGGGATGAGAACTATAATCAAAGTGCAGGAACAGGGATTGATTCCTTCGTGTTCATTCATGCTGTGATGTCCATGCAGTGTGAAGCTACAGAGGCTCTTTGTGTGTGAGGCAGTAATGTCAGACACACATTATGTCCAAGGCTGCAGATCAATACCTTTTGGGCTCCTTCCTGACTTGAGTGTATTGAGAAGCCTTTTGAGGGAGTATACCATCTTTTTTCATGTGATGGGTCTAATCATTTTTACAGGCCATCCCATGTAATTGGTTCTCAGTGTAAACAACCTGTTTTTATTTCCAGCACAATGATCACACCTCAGACTTATTTGTGGACAGATTAGGTCAGACCCACCCACCTATGTGCCCTTTGACTTGCTCTTGTATTGAACGTCTGAACTTACTGATGTGAAACATGACTTTAATCACCCATAACCCTGGGGAAAATTGAATTTCTGGGAGAACTCAATTCTCGAATGACTCTTATTTTCAATTTAAAAGGACAGTGTATATTTTAAGTCATGCCAGGTGCATTGTTCTAAAGTGATGAAACATATTTTTTTCCTTAAAACACCTGAAATTCTCTTATTTATATGAATTAGGGCTGTCAAGTNCCAAAACACGTAATAGTACATCATTAAAACACTTTACACTGTATCAAGACTGTCAAGTTGTCAAAGTTAGCCAGTAACTACAGCTTTGTTGGTCACTTACCTTCATAATCGTCGATGTAACTGGATATGTAGCTACATCTTGAACCCCTCTTCTCTTTTGCTCCTCGGGGCTGAGCCCGCAACTTGTACCACCCAATGTACATCACTGATGTTAACCTTCAGTAGGTCTTGGAGACATTGAGTGTAAAATAGTGCCTATATAATATCTATACGCTATCTCTCTCGCTATATATTGCTATCTATACGCTATCTATCACTCTACCGCTCTACCGTAGACCGGAAGTTTACACACTCAATGAACCGGAAATGGAAATACGTCATCCCGTGCAACTAGCCTATTCAGAATTCCGTTCTCATGGAATTATTTGAAGTTCATGTTTATGCTGACTGAATAGCTAGATTCCAGGAACATCTACAGATGTAGCACTCTAGAACAGACTCCAGCCAACAGCTTCCTGCCAAAGACCCAACGGATCCCAGCGGCTGGGAATGTTAAGCCCTCCCACTATTTTCCAAGAGGGCGTTGCCAGATTTTCAATTTCAGGATTTAACCATTAGATGGCGCTTCATTCATAAATACAGAAAGACAAGTTTCCTGGCCTTTCAGTACTTCAGTTGTGTTTTGAAGAGCATTTGAACACATATTTGTTATGGTTTTCACAGGCTACTACAGTATAANTCTCTCTCTCTCTCTCTCTCTCTCTCTCTCTCTCACACACACACACACTTTGTATTGTATTATTGTATTGTATGAGAGGTTGAATTGAGGCGGATATTTTTATTGTCAGAGGTTGTTATGTTTAATATTCATAAGAATATTTGTCATTGTTCAAATGATAATAAACAAACATTTGCATAAAGCATATTTGTCCACTCATGTGTTGATAAGAGTATTAAAAACTTGAAAAATATTCCTCTAAGGAACATTTAGAACAGATAAAAATGTGCGATTAACTATGGACAATCATGCGATTAATCGCGATTAAATATTTTAATCGACTGACAGCCCTAATATGAATAGAACGGTAATTCTCTAACACATTCTCTACACGCAGAGTAATGATGCAGTATACTGTATGTGGCTTAGATTGAAAGTTACGTGCTTTGATAATCAGTATAATTGCGCCTGAAATGACTTTAGGGTTAGAGCTGATTTGGTTGACTGTGGTGTCACCTTTCTTTTTTCTTTTTTTAAAGCTAACAACTCTCATTAGATGTGATTCCTTAATTTCTAATCTGTGGCTTTTTTTCCCCTAAATTAAAAGGCATTTAAACGTTATCATTTTTATATCAAAGAAAAATATATTTTGTAATGCAGTAGTTGTTGGTTTGCTGTTCTGATGATTCAAGCTGGAAAGTTTTAATGTCTGTCCATTAAGCCTTGGAAAAAGTATTACAATGAAGGGAGCATTTTCCTCCAGAACTTCCTATTGCAATTCTATTGTTATTATTGTTAAATATTTCTATTTTTTATTTTACTTCACTAATGTCAACCCTCATTCTTTATTTAGTCACTTTGTGTAAAGGCTGAAGTTTTAAATTCATATAAAAGCTTAAATGTATTTTAAGTCTTCCAGATAACAGGATTTTCCAGAGCCTATTTTCAAAACTACAAAGCCCTACCTCTGATGTTTGGAGCTGCAAATGACAAGACACACAAACAGCAGTAATACTTATGCCAGCACAAAGCTCAACAGTAATTCCTCAAGTATCTCACAGCGACGGTGCAGCGCTCTGTGTCTCTCATCGGCAATCAACATGCTAATTGGCTCTGAAATTTGAAGGGAGACAAGTCTTTTCTAATCGAAGAACGGGCTGCTCTGTCACTCATTAAATCAGACTTATAATTCCCGGTCTCATTATATTGACACAGCAGAGGAATCGGTCTGGTCACTGTGGGCAAAATGTCATGGATCATGCTAATGATCGACACTGAGACCCATTTCCACTGAGCTCATAATTGCTCGCTCCTGCTGTGCCATTTTTCTAAAGATTAATTATATTTTTCCCAACACAGATTTCGTTCTTCTTGATAAATGCTGCTGTGTTGGTGCTTGATTACGTGAATATGTTTGTTTACCAAGATACATTTTAATCTTGTAAGCTGGGTTCACTTCATCCAGGATGCATGGTTCGAAATCAGTGCACAATGTCTAAATAACAGTTTTGAAATACTTAATAATAAAAGGGACCACCTAATTTCACCTGATATACAGTTTAGTGTTTATAAATATTTTCCTGTGGGAAATGATTGTCAAACATTGCTTCTGTAAACTCAAGACTAATCATGGTGTAATTTGAAATGTTAATGTTTTCCCTTTATCTTTTTACTGATAATTTGAATGCTTTTGTATTCATTAATTGATATATATTTATATCTACTATCCATCTATTAGTTAATAATACATAATAATGACGATAGAAAGAAAGTTTGAGGCAATGCTCTATTCAAAATCCCTAATTGTGGCGAATAAAATAAGAACTTTATTCTTCCAATCAAAATTGTTTCAGCACCTCAAGAGCCAGTGAAGCAAAGGGAAAAAGGTGACTGATGAATATAAAAAAGGATATACCTTATGCATATTAACACCTTTTTGCACTTGATAATTGTACCTCTGCTGTGAACGGTATGGTAATATTTATCATTAGTATTTTCTCAGTCTGTTTTTTTTTAACACAATCTTTTTTTATCAATTTAAATGTCAAAATGTTTTCTGTATTGAACTACAATTTGTAAAAAAATAGAGGAAAGTAGAAGACTCAAAAGGCAAGTATACAAGAAAAATAAACAAACAATAGTCACCAGAAGTACTGTGACTCATTGCCATAACACAGCATGAGTGCTTTTTATGATTACAGTTGTCTAATGTATCTACTCAACATGGTCACATGTTTATTTAAGTATGCAAGATACCGGTGTTTTCACTGTGTGGATATACAATTATTTCCATTGCCACCTTTTACACAGCGACACATCTAACAGCTGAAAATACATTGTAGAAACTGCACAACATGGCTGCCTCAGGGGGCTTCTTGCTTCGATTTCATGTTGATTACATTTCTAGTTTTCTGTTGATGCAAATGTCAAATGCATAACTTGTGCACGAGATATATTCCTCAGTTTAGCTCACCCAGGCAGCAGCTGTTCTGAGGTTGAATCACCAGGGTGACATATCAATCATTTATAGAGAGAAACACAAACTTCTGTAGCACAATGTCAAAGCGTATTACTGTATGAAGAGTCAGTAATGCTTTTTGTCATGCACACAACAACAACATGTAATATGAAGACGTGGCATCACCACATCTTCATCAATATCATCAAGAACCATCCTAGGAAATAACTTACCGTCAGCAGCACAGGGCGGCTCTCTTTGACGGCTCCTACGCAGCCCAAACAGCCGATCACCATGATTATGGTTCCCACCGCGATCAGCAGGTTGGCAGCTGACAGGGAGGGAAGTGATGATGATAGGGTGGCAAAGTTACCCTGGGTAACTGAGAGCCAAACTCCCACCCCCAGTATGCCACATCCTCCCAACTGCAGGGGACACACAAAGAGGCATAAATGGGTCAGTGTGCGCATGTGAGCATAATCAGAATCACCCTGATCTGAAGAGCAATCAAAGATGGGGTGCATAGAAACCTTTGCAGAATTGTATCTGGCTGTTCGTTTGCTTTTCAACTTCATGATAGTAAGCAGGAATAAACATTGAACAAAGAAAACCAAATGTAAAAAATGAAAACACAGCAGCAACCACTCGACTAAACAGAGTTAGCAAAGCGTCCCAAACAGCAAAACGTTTAAAGATATAGTTATTCAATTATTTTACTTCAAATAGTTAGTGAGGAGAATGACGCCACTCACACATCTGTCCGCTAAGCATAAGGCTTCAACAAGTAAGCTAAAAAGGACCTGCGTGCCGAAACAACTTCTTGTGACTGGTTTTTATTTTCTACATTAACGAGATGTAACAAGATTTAAGTTGGTTTAGAGGTGCTGGTTGGAGTATTGGGTTCATTGGAGTGGAGCAGGTCTAGCACTATACCCCAGTTTGAAAAATATATGTCAAACCATTCCTTTAATTGTCTCTTTTACCCATGCAGTTGGTTAACAATGAACTTCATCCCTTTTTTTATACATTTTAAATAGTTTTATCTTCAAACCGATTCATTACAAATAAAGCCAGAGAAGTCATGTGGACTGTCGGGTTACTCGTGATGGTAAATAAACCCATATGAAATAATCAACTACTGGTGACTCACACTTCAATGTGGAACATTGTTGCACAATATATATTTATTTGACTGCTCTGGTTCATGACCATTATTAGTCCCAACTCTAACTGGACCGAATAGATGATGAATAATGACGAGTGGGTAGAAAGTAGGATGAAACAAATGGTGTCTTTCACTGTACTATTATAGAAGGGATGTTACTGTGTGGTAGCTTTTCACTCTTTTTAATGAGGAGTTTCCCTTTTTATCTTTCTGATATGTGAGGGGAAAATCTCTGCTCATGTGCTGACATGTTAGTATGTTCGTCAAATGATCCTGAATAATTATAGAGGGTTATATGGGTTGCTGAAACGGATCTCTTTGAACATTGCTTTCTTTAGAAAACAAAATAAGCACATTTTATCATCATTTCCTCATTATGTTAATAGTTAACTGAATACGTGTCTTTTATTTGGTATTGCAGATTTGTTTGTATACTTGCGTAGTTTATAGGAGATAATATTGACCCATCAGCCTTTACACTTTATTCAGACGTGGAAAGTAATGGAAAGAGACTCGTGAATTCTTGCACCACATTTCGCCGCAGTGGCATAACCGAGAGGAATGTTAAAGGGATTTGAAGGAAGTGTTGAGGCCCTATCAGTTTAATAATATAAAATGAATGTAAAATCACATATCTACCCTCACACGATCCAGCAGTCTGCTTTGCTTAACACCACTGAAAAAAGGTGAAGTATGAATTACTATGACAAATGTAACCATAATGAAACCAAAGATCTGATGGCATTTAAAACGATGAAACCCCTCTCATTCGCCTCACAAACAATGGATCGATTGTTGACATTGTTACAAATTAGTATATGCAACAATTACCAGTGCCAAAACACCTACTTGGTAACGTTTTGGGCTGTAATTTAGTTTGGGTTTTGGTCAATTATTTTAGCTCAGTGATAGTTTTCTTAGCTTTCTTAAAATGTGTCTCAATTTAAACTGTAAGAAGAGTGACTGAAACATTGAAAGAACTTCCCATCTGGAATCAAACTGGGATTATGATTGGTACATTAATATTAAACTGTTGGCACACTCAACCCGTAGCTTGAATCACGTTCCCTATATGTTGTGAAGTGTATTAAGATTGGGGAAAATCCCTAGTTTTGGTCAAGTCATAATTATTAGGATGTGTTTCCTAATTCAAGTCAACTTTAACCTAGTGCTGCCTATAGCAATGAAATACTTGGAAATACAATGCTGTAGTCACTTCTGGTGGATTTTGTATTGTGAGATCAGATATTCTGGCTTAAAACAAGTGACACATGGTCCTAGCCAGTGTGGATCCTGTTTTTTATTCTATAGATTAATGTCATAGTATGTTTTGCCTTTAGGAGCACATAATGATAAAGAGTACACATTAATGAAAGGATTTTAATCAATGGGAAAAGAATGTTCACACACTCACTGTTCGCCACTTGCAATAAGATTTACATGGTTAAATGCACATTTATTGTTATCCCCACTTTTTTTATTTCCATCTTAAAAACAAGATCCTATTTAATGAGCTCTTGAGCTGGAAGTAGAGAAAGGCTAAAATAAAAAGCAGTCATGTGGGGACCCATAAACTGATGTTTCTGTTCACTTTCAAACACAGATCGTAGATTTCAGCAGCTTGGAGTGTAATAAGGGTCCATTGTGAGCGACAGTGACCCAAAGACCCTTCATTTGCAGAGTGTTTTCTTTAATGAAGAGTGGCCGCAGGGGAGAAGGGTGAGGGATCAAGATCCCTTGTCTCGATCCTTCACCTTTCTCCCCTGCGATTTTAAATCGTCTTTGAAGCAAGGATAAAATATAATATGTCAGCTTTATGCCAGAAAGATACCAACTCCAAGAATGAAAATACAAGTTTTATTGAAGCTTGATATGCAATTATGATATGATAACTAGCTGTATTTTGTCAACCTCTCTTGCACTGATAGGCTAAAATGTTCTTTATTGACCTCTCTCTCATGAGTAGAATCTCCTCAGCAACTTAAAATCCGTCCATTTTAAATTGCCCCATGTTCCCCCATTTGTTTTAGGGAACATGGGGGAACATTAAATGTTGCATTCTTTAGTCAGGTCCACCAATTACAAATGCAGAATGTGCCTCAAGGGTCTTTTAGCCTCTGTACAGCACACAACACCCTCTATCGTTCATCCTTCCACAAAAAGTTTTCTTATTGCAGATCCTATTCTGGTAAATATTTAACAGTTTAATTTCTCTCTGAGCATATTTGATTTTCTATTGCTGCAGCCTTTACATGAGTGTGACTCATTCTATTCAGACTCGTGCCATGTTACAGAAATGTTGCTACTTGTAGGTCTACATGGTAAGATTGCTGTTGATATAAGTCACTGATGTGACATGTAACATTGAAAATCATATTTACCCAACAATGTTCCTGAATGCTAGTGGTTACAAATTGTAAGTATTCTTATTTTCTTCAACAAAAAATAATCTGGACTTGCATATTTTTACTGATCAACAGTCCAAAATAGCAACGCATTACATTAACAGAGATTAATTACTGAGAAAAACAAGAAATCCTCACCTTTTGAATAGTATTAAATTGAAAATATTGAGTTTTATAATATATGACCGACTACTTGCAACCTTTAATTATCCCAGTACTGTGCCTGGTTATGAAGTTGATCAAAAATCCTTCCATGTTAGCTTTTTACGGAGTGTTTTACTTTCACCGTGATCTGAAATGGCCAGCTTTCATCTTTACAGTCACACGGATTTACAGTGCTTTAAATTGATACAACCATCTGGTCTGCCTCCTCCTTTCACAGTGGGTTTGTGCATTTGAAGCAGAGCTGGCTGATTGGGGCCCATTAAGGGAACATACATAAAAGACAGTGTAGTTAATTGGTATAGGTAGAAATCTGTAACTTCACAAAACAGAAATACTCACACTGATATAAGGATAAAAAGATGGCTGAATTATTTCCCTGATCAAATAAACATGTGCAGTAGCTGTATACTTGACTCCTGAGCGCACAATGTATAATACAGGTGAATGTTCTAATGAATACGTGCACAGTACCTGACTTTCCTGTGATCTTATTGCAATTATGAACACTGCATCTCGAACATGGGTCATGAATATATATTAATTTTAATGATTTAAGGTCATAATCTGAATTTGTATTCATGCTTGAATATCAATGTGAAGCTCTAAGGGCCAAGGATTGGTCGAAAAATGGGTTTCTCTGATACCACAACTTGAAATGTTAGTTTGAATTCCCGTGCTTCATATAGTATTTCTTTTGTCACACTTTGATGTGTTAATCATGAATGTATTCAGTATTTTTCTGAAAGAGTGAATTCTGATGCTTATATCAGTTCCCATAGTTATATCCTGGTGATGAGGTTTAAAGGAAGTTGATTTTAAAACATTTTATACTTTTAGATCTGCATTAGAGTTGTAATATATTTGATTTATGAGAGTGGTGTAAAAAACCAGCAGGGAGCGAGGATTTACTCTTGATTGGGGCCACAGATCTAAATCTGATCTCGCCTTTTCGGGGTATTTTGTAATTATAAGAACATGTTTTATGGCCCCGATCAGAGCCTGCCTATGCTTTCATTATTTACAGAGCTGGAGAATTTAAGCATTGCTGATTGAACATGTACTCTGCAGAGAGCTGCAGCAACTGAATGTAGCACCTTATTATTGAATAGCATCTTAATATACATGCTGAAGGTTCAAAGGTATTAAGTTGATGGGCTTACATTGTTAATATGATCTGAAAATGTGAATGTTTGGCCTGTTATGTATATAATGTGACGCGCTAGAGAGAAGATGTATCACTCTAATGGGACTTCTGGGAAGCTGCTACTTGTTTTGTTATTTTGTTCACTCGCTTTCTTATAAGCAAAGGGACCTATTCTGTTGAATCAGTTCCCATTGTGCTGCAACACAAACACTGCAGGCAGACAAAAGAATGCCAAATTCAGTAATGAAAGGACAGAATCGGATTCCATTTAAAAACTAAGTAATGCCTGGATCCAGCCCCCATACCAAGGGATCTGCTCAGGACATATAGTTACAAAAAAGAAGGAAATCCCAATGAAAGATGGTGTTGAAGTCGTATGCTAAACTGTATATTTGTTTTTGATTCATCACATTCAACCATGTTGACGTCCTCCTTCTGCAGACTCTGGCTATAATGTACAATGTCACACTAATTAATCCTTTAATACCGAAGCAAAACTGTCCTTTTCCTTTCATACCTCTATAGGGCTTCTCACTGGAGCAACGTTTTTGAAGCTGTTGTTTTTTGAAGCGAGCACAGTGCAGTTTTAACTCTTGCTTGGTCCACACCATTTTCTGAGAAAAAAATCTGGCTTTGCTTTTTTCTCCGACGAATGCCTTTATTGCTGGGCAGGTATAGTTGGGGACACTCTGCTTG